TACTTAAGTATGTCTTGATAACAACATTTTACCCGTATTATCCTTCAAAACTCTTTCATTTTTCTACACATACGCCTTAACAAGATTAGCAATTTTTATCAACACTTTATATGTTACCATTTATGTTGTTCAACGAAGTTGCATTTTCATAATCATTTCATCCTAATTAATATCAGTGTTGTTTTTTTCAACAATTCAGAAACATTTAAGTTTTTTGTCGTAACCAAGTAGGTTATTATGCATTTTTCGGATTCTAACGTCATACTGAACTATTATTGAAATGCCTATTATCATCACAGATACTTTACAGCTGCCCTTTTTGTAACTTATAACCAATTTTATCAGCTGGTTTACCATACTGACTAAAATTTCCTGCTTCCATATAAATTAAGTTTGTATCAGAAAATACAGTAACAATCACCATGATTAGTTGGTTGACAAGACTTCCTATAAATAAGTCCCCTCTTAGTTCACTCTTTTTAACAATGCGTACCTAAAGTCGTAACCAAACTCATGCTACACGTCAGATTCAAAGACGATTCATAAGCTAATTAATTTACAGAAGTTACCATTATTCTATCTGTTTATTACTAGGTGATATCAATGTAACTATGTTAAAACTACTGGAGGTTGATTATTCCTCTAGGATATTGGACTACCTGGTTTCAGTTTTGAGATATGTTATATTGATTCGTTTCTACTGAAAAACGTGTCCATTAAATATTGACTTTTAAATCATATTATTAAAAAGTGAAATCCACAAACTTATTGAGTAATGACAACTTCTTCCGTAGACGTATTCAGAAGAAGTTTCTGTTAACTGAGAGACCATATGATATAGAACAACAAAAGACTTTCAGTTTTCTATGCAAACACTTTATCTGCATGAATAAATAATTTCATATCAACCAACAATATTTTATTGTTTAATTGTAAGTAATATATTGCAGAACTCAAATATATATGTAAACATTGATTTAGGTTTAAAATACTATTGAATAAATTCTTACTGTATTCTACAATATATTGCAATGGTTTTGGTGTTGGTTTGAAAATTCAGTCACAAACAAAATATTCCTTAAGAAGAAATGGACTATATTTCAGTATATCATCAGTAAAGGGATGATATTAAATGGATGTATTTTTTGTTTTGTACTTCATTTTCCATTAGTTAGTGAGATAATTGTGTTGATGTTTCTTTTTGATGAGATCGTTCACCTCATTTTCAATGAACTCGTTAAATCATAATACCATTTTTGGATAATCTAATTAGCTTAACAATATGGAAAACTTAAAACCTTTTATCAGTATAGGGTTGTGGAGATTATCAAGTTTTTGATTGGGATCATGAACCGATTGATGTTAGACCACCATTGAAAACCTGGATGCAATGGACGGCCATTTCGTCTTATTGTGGGACTCCTTAGCAGTGCCCATCCACGATCCCGCTCGCGGGATTTAAATCGAAGGCCTTCGGTTTCGCACGCGAATGCTTAACCTCTGGACTACTGAGCCAGTATCCAACGGTATAAATGTCTAACTTTAATCAATCCACTATATTTCGCAACCACCTTTTATTGTTTGCGTTAGCGCGCGAAACTGAATCCCCTGGAATCGGACCCTGCTAAGGAATCCTACAATAAAACGAAACGGCCTTCCAGTGCTTCCAGGTTTTCAATGTTGGTCTAACATCAATCGGTTCATGATCTCAATTAAAACCTTTTTTCAATTTATCATATTTTTATACGTTTTGTGCCGTAAAGTTTTAAACCAGTGATAATTTTTTTGACTTATCTAACATTATTTGTATGATTTACAATCTGTTCCATACAATGTTAAAGTAGACTATAGCCTAGATGCTAAGTAAAGACTTTTAGAATCATGAACACTTTAAAACATAAGTAGTAAAATAGCCCGAATATAAAATTAACATGAGGTAGACATGTATATTTGAAGATCATGTTTACAGCCATATTGAATAGACGTGCAACCAGATACCATATGTTCTTTATTCGATTTTATGTTATATATAGAAGTAACCTAGTATCCACGGAGTAAATTTCCACAGGACTGAAGCAATTATAATTGCCTGTTAGAAGTCAATTTAAACTGTTTTATCATTAAACCTTTTGATCATATTTTCCATATACATTTTTTACTCACTAACCTTAATGAAATACAGAAGACACTAATCCGGCTTAGATTATCAAAATTCGAACTGTATTACATAATGTTAATTTAACTATGTTTTGTCTCAAAATATCTTGAAAGTAATCTTTTGACTGACTACTTAGTTAAGGAAACCATTTCAAGTATGTACTTTATAGTTTTAATTGGTTTATTAATTTATTTATACAGTAGGAAATATTTTCTCTGAAATCATTGATTCCTCCTCATTTCCTATCTTTCGTCTCATCTACTGTCAGTTTGTTTAAACAGACGTCTTAGAATTATTTCAGTCTAAACTATGTTTAACATTCAACAAGTTTAGATGGTGGTTGGAGGTAGTCGACAGGAAACCCTGGACCCGGGTTTCGTGCTACTTGGCACTCGTCAGCAAGGTATACCTGTAATCATGAGGGAACTGTTGCTCCCTGGCGGATTCGATCTCGTGTCACCCAGCTCCAACCACCATCTAATCTCACAATAGTGTACTCAGTGTCGAGTCAATTAGGCTGGTGGCCACATTACAACATGGTCGACAGCATTCGATCTGCACTAATAAGGACTAGACACGCATGACATTGATCGTCACCCAGTGATCAATCAACTGTGATTCAACAAGTTTATTATGTTTGGAGAAAATCGATACCAACTTGTGAAAATCTATATAACAACTAAAATACTAATTGTATAATAGCCTATTTTTCTTGAATATGAAAAATAATCGATGTTCCAACAAACAATTTTTTCTTAGATACTTTGATGAATGAAACTATTCAAAACAGTAATATGTTAAACTGCTAATCTAGTAGCCACATTGTAACTTGGTCGATAGGATTCGATCCGCACTAAAAAAGACCTGACATATATGACATTGATCAATACCCAGTAATCAATCAATTGTAAACTGCTAAACTACTGAATATTAATTTATTAAACTATAATCCTATAATATAAAAAAAATATCTATTAAGATCAAAAGCCCATTTTAATGATAAGAAAACCGTTTCGCTATTTTTTTTTAAAAATTCAGTCTATGAATGCCTGTTGGTTATATTGAAATTTAGCTTCAGTATAATACTTTTGGTTACGAAGTGTTGTTAAGTAAGCCTTGATTTTTTTTATAATTTTCGCTAATCAGTGTATTTTATAAATTTTGACAGAGTAATAAGATCAACTCTATCAGTTCATTGCTTGATCAAGATCAGAATTATATTTGTGTATCATTAATTTAATTTCACAGATAGAAATCATGAGTCAGTTGAAGCTAGACCACCATTGAAAACCTGGAAGCACTGGACGGCCGTTTCGTCCTAGTATGGGACTCCTCAGCAGTGCGCATCCACGACCCCGCACCACCCGGGGCTCGAACCCAGGACCTACTGGCTTCGCGCGCGAGCACTTAACCATTAGACCACTGAGCCGGCATCCAACGGTGTTAATGTCTAACTTCAACCAATCCACGAAGTTGCGCTACCGTACACCATTGTCCTCAGTGAGTTACTATCTCACAACAGACCTGGTTGAACTCCACTGGTAACGATTGGTTGAAGTTAGACATTAACACCGTTGGATGCCGGCTCAGTGGTCTAATGGTTAAGTGCTCGCGCGCGAAGCCAGTAGGTCCTGGGTTCGAGCCCCGGGTGGTGCGGGGTCGTGGATGCGCACTGCTGAGGAGTCCCATACTAGGACGAAACGGCCGTCCAGTGCTTCCAGGTTTTCAATGGTGGTCTAGCTTCAACTGACTCATGATTTCTATCTGTGAAATTTCTAAAATCTCCACGAAACCCATTCTGATATTAATTTAATTGTCTTAACATTTATTTCTTTAGACTGTTTTCAGAAAATGTGGGAACAATATATGAATATTTTAGTTGAACATAATAAACCTTCCGGAACCTTAATTCATATTCCATGAATATTGTTATGAAATATAACAAGAGGCATTACTCTATCAATCACATTCACATATACTTTTTAAATTCATCTTATTTCTTTCACATTTATTTAAAGATTGATAAAGTTAAAGACATTTTTAAAAATCCTTTTATATATTAAAATAAACCATTCCTAATATGAATACTAATCCATAACAACCATATTAGATCTTCTTATTTTGGTTATACCATTCGTTTGTTATAATTGTAAAAGTGAATAATAGCACAACATTTCAAAACAAAACAAGCAAAGAAGATAATCAAATAGAAGCATTAGGTACAGTCTAACGTTTCATGCTGTTATTATGAGTTGAATTTCATTTCGATTATTCTCATCAATGTTCAATGAATAAACAAACTGTTATCATTATTGTTAGAAAGTCATATAAACATCATTATAAAGACAGAATTTATGAATTTTTTAAACATAAACTATTAGTCAAAACAAATAGAAGGAGAAAAATAAATAAATAAATAATAATACTAATATTAGTATTATATCTTATTTAGAACAAAAATTTCTTCTTTAATGGGTGGGGTTTTTATTTAAAGAAGAAAAAGAAAACAACAACTTCTATCCATAAAGTATAAACTAATACTAAAAATCGTTTGATAAACAAACAAAAAGAAAAAAAAGAAAAAAACAACAAGAAATATTACAACGACAATAATAATAATGATAATACTTTTATCATGTCATAAGTAAAACTATTATCATCAATTCAATGTTTGTGGTAAACAATGCCGCATTACCTTTCATAGATACTCTCATCTTTCTTTGAATATAACTTTTGTAAGATAAATAATAAAAGAAAAGTTATGCGTTTTTTTTAAAAAAAAATAGTTCTTTTTTCTTTTTTTTGGTAAACAAAATTAATCTTGTTCCTTTTTTTGTTTCGAAAAAAAAAACACTCTCCTCTTCATGTTTTTCTTTGTGTGTGTTGTATTTAATTACTGATTATGATTCATGTATTAAATGTGTCATGTCAGATTGTGATGGATGTCTAACCATAAACATAAAAATTGGTCCAACTTCATTAATTTGTGGTCCATGAACAGGATCATAATCGAAATAAGTTGTATTTGTAGTCATTTCAGTTGGAGCAGATACGTAAGCTGAAGTATTCACTGTATTAATTGGTGTAACAACTAATGGTTTAATGTGAGAATCACGACTCATTGGCGTTTGAACAGGTGATCGATAAGAAAGTAATGGTGATCGAACTGGTGAATCAGTTGATAGTTGTATTGGTGATTCATTATGTAATTTTGGTGTAACCCAACCATCATTTAAACTATTTGATAATGAACGATTCAATAGATTTCTATTTGTAACTTCTGAACTGATTTGAGTATCAATATATGACATAGATTGTGCCTTTAATGGAGAATTCACTGATGGCATATCATGTATCATATTATCAGATTGTTTAGATGCATTATAAATTATTTCACATAAACGTTTAGTATCATTAGGATCTTTACATTTATATGTTTCACAGTAACTTGAATATGGAAATTCAGATTTCACTGATAACATAAACATATCTGGATATTCTTTACACATAAAAAAATGTTCTATATCTTTATATAATACATGATCACGAAATAATGATTTAGCAACAAAATTTTTCTTTCGAAAAATAATTCTATCTTGTAAACATATAAAACGAACTTGATGACTTGTACGTTTTTTCATATGTGAAATAAATAAATCACTTAAGTTATTTCTTTCTTTTACTTCTATACTATTTACTAAAGTTCTATCAAGTGAACATACAATACATCGATAAATTACTTTTTGATTTGTTTTTCGATCATATCCTTGTTGATTAAGTGAACTATCCGATTTAGCAGTACGTATTGCTTTGTTTTTATTTGAACGTCCAACTGGCATAATTATATAATTGAATAGGTAATTTGATTATATATATATATAGATTTATATATGTATGTATAATTCTATTTCTTTTTAGATGGAGAAAAAAATCAGCCAAATGATAATGTATTATTGTATACACAAAACTAGTATAATACAATATGTGAATAAAACAAAACAAGGTAAATGAGAAATAAGAATGTTCAGTTAGTTATTTTAATTTACTTTTTTATATGAGAATTGCATCGATTTTTGGTCGGTTTTTTTTTTCTCTCTAGTGATACAATAGTGTATGTGTGATGTAATTTAATCATGTTGGTTAGCTGAAAAAGACTGGACGGAAGACAGATACACAGTATATAAAATAGAGTGATAGAGAAACATAATATGAGACACTTTGAATATCATCATACGGGGGTAGATAAATCACACTTATATTTACCGGCCATATTGATCACATAGATGATAAGATATTAGATAGTTTTTAATATATGTTTTTTATATGTACACTAATAATGTAAAATATTTTATAAATGGAGTTGTTGTTCTCTTTCGATTGATTAAATTTAATGAAGTCTAATTTCACGATGAGTAAAAATTAACTGGCTCTGGGTGTTTAGTAATAAAGTATATTTATTAGTCTATGTATTACGTCGTAATTGAAATCGAAGATAAAAATATGATAAATCATTGTTTAAAATATGTATTCCATGGATGAACATTTTCGCATTGTCCGTAGGTATAATTTTTAGTCGATTTTGTATTTTGATTAGAGTAGCCATCTATGTTATGGGTTTCAACCTACCTTAAACTGGTTAGTATACATGATAACAATGCTTGATTGGACACCGTCCAACAATGGTATAATACTCATCATTAAAAATGAAATCGACTATGATTAGTTTGAATAAATAAATAGATTATATTGAAATGGTGGGGGAGATTTATAACTCAGCTAGTAGTTCTATCTGAAGTTTGTGCCGTTGATATCGTTCAGAATAACAATGAAAGCTCTACGACCAAACCATCCAGCTCAGAGAACAAAACTCCAAAAAAAATAGATTATACTCTGGGAATAATTATTTACTTTATTTATTATAAGAATAGAAATGATAGTGCATTCAGTAAATTTTGTTAACAAACTCTAGGGAACTACTACATGAATATCATATACGGGTAATCAGAACTTCAGTACTCAAAATGATTTTCTGTTTTGAAGAATCAGGTCATTAATTAATTAAAAATCTGTTTTTTTTAAGGAAATTACAATTAAAAGGTTTAAACAGATTCGAAAATTTTATCTCACTTTGATTATTTTAAAAGCTAACAAAATATGTTATACTAGCATTCCAAACCTTCTAATACATCTTATATTTATTTAGTTCTGAAGACAGTTTATAAAGGTTAACAGCCTCTTTTTCATACCTCTTTACATTTATCAACAATGGAGTATGTATAGCAATTAAATAACCGATTTGTCTATCGAAAACTTATCTCTGTTGACTTGAACCTATGTTGAAACATAAATTTTTCGAAAGTTGCCCGTAAACTTGGCTGATAAATAACTTTTAACTATTATTAATTTTTAAACATATGAATATTACTAGTTGCAATCTAGATTTACTGAAAGCATCACTTCTTAATTCATTATCTATGTGTTAATACCAAAGTCATTTGTAAAATCATCTTGATGTTATTTATGTTGATATCGATTGGTTATCTTGTGCCATAATACCATTCTAAGTAATAAGAATTGCCAATATTTTACATTCTCTTAATAAATTATCATTAAGATAATCAAAAGTGTTTGCCTTTACAAATCCTTGATATGTTCATACTTGTACTAATACTTAAAGTGGTTAGCATACAAATACAAAACAATAAATTCAATACATCTACATCCTTGTAGTAAAATAATTATTTATTAATATAATCGTTTATTAAATTCATATTTATTATTTTCACAAGAAGGGCAAATCTTCCACAACCTACCTGTTTTTCAAAGACACCAGTTTAGTTCTATAAGAAGTAAGAAGAAAATTAAATACTATTGAATTTTTATGAAAACATCATGTTAGATCACATTTTTATTGATCACAATGTTACTTAACCTAGTCAGGTCATTGAGTTTTATCATTAAAACCAATATTTTGATAGAATTTAGGTAACGTTTGTACGATGTATGATTATTCGTTTCTAGATAACATGGAGTATCTTAATATCGTAAGTTATGACTATATAAAGTACAGATTTTTGACATCATTCGGTATGTACCTATGTTTGTATTATGATAACTATTATAATCATTTCATAAAACTTGGAAGATTATTTCATAAAATACCTCAATAAGGAGTTAACAGATTAGGAGTAGACGGACCATAATTTTCTAGTATTCCTAAACTTTACAAAGGATTAAGTGGAATCATACTCCTAGAACACGCTATTTATCTATGAGCTATGATACTTTTATATATCACATATTCATAAATGACATACTGTTTGATCAAGCACTTAGCGGTAGAATTATTACAGTATAAATAAAAGATTTTATAGATTGAAAGTGTTTTTCCCTTATAACTTTAGCATTGTTAATTGTTGCAAATTAGTAACAAGATGATTCAATATGATAAGCATAATCCAATGACCTTCCTGAACTAATAGAATCATATAAATTTTTTCTAAGACATAAATATCAAAATGAACTTTTAGAGAATATAAAAGAAAAACATGATGACAAGGAAATTAGACTATTTTAAAAATTCACTTGGTATTGTTTGTTTGAATCTTCCCATTGATGTTTAGGACGGCAATTCATCAGTCTCTTATTAATATATGTAAATACTGTGTTTAATGCCTCGATATAGCCTTAAGTCACAAGCGATGACGTTTGAAGCGAACGTTACTGAATTCGAGTCCCATAGTGAATGTCAGCTATAAGACGCAGGTACATCCATCTGACGAGTCCCGAATAGGACGAAACGCGCGTCCTGGATTCCACTGCTAGCCACTATCCATCTTTGTATATCTTGAAAATTCTTTAGTTTTTGAATAAGAGTTATTATGGTAGTAAAATCAGACGAAATAAAACTCCCTTATTTAGATTTTACTTCATAAGAATAAAACGTGATAGTATATCAATATAAACAGACATGGATGGTGGCTAACAGTGGAGTTCAAGATGCACAATTTGTTTTATTTTGAACTCATCAGCTAGATGTAACTGTACCCCAGAGTTGGTTTTCACACTGAGGCTTGAACTCAGTGTCGTCTGCCTCGAACGCCATCGTGTTAACTGCTTAGCTCCTGAGTACAGATAGACACTGGCTTTTGAAATATAAATGAATGATTGTATGCTATTCTGAGACTTCTCATTCTGTTACGACATCCAAAAGATAGTTGAAACAAAAAATTAATAGTAAAGGCAATAGTAGTTATACAGGTTACTAACGTCTATTGTTCCATACATTTTAGGTGCCAACAAAATTACGTGAAATGTTTGTCACCTTCAACTACACCAGTTCATTTTGAAGAATATAATTAGAAATACATCATTATCGGGAAAGTAAATATAAACACATGAATCAGATAAAGAAAGAACTTTAAGTAACAAAATATTCCCGTTAAACATTTTTTTACATTATAGCGGTGCTATTAGAGTGTGCACTTCGTCTGCACACAGATATAAGTAATACGTAGAAAGAATAGAAAGTGGAATGTTAACATCAACAAATTGAAATGAAAAGTAGAAGGAAAACGAAGAGCGATCAAAACATTGACAGAATCAGAAGAACGATGGAGTATGTAAAGGGTAATCAAAGGAAGATGTAGGTATTTAATGTGTGATTTTAATATCTTACAATGGAATTGTGCATTTTTTAAACGACAATAAGTTGGTTTACCGTACCTAAGTTTTCGTTCACTACTGTATAATCAATGAGATTTGGATACAGAAAGTATAAAGGCTATGAAAGAACAGCTTACTGAGGCCCCATGTTATAACCTGGCTGACTTCTCATTCACCAGAAGAATTTGTCAACTTAACTTCTCATGAACAACCAATTCCATTACTCACATAATCAGGCAAGCCTACTTATCGAACTTCTACTCATTAAGGATAATAACAATAAAAAGCTATGAATGTCAATTTGATAAACACGGAACAGTAAGTTGACTGAAATAAAGCATTTTAAATTGTTTTTCATATAATATTTACATTGTCACACCCTTTACATATAGGTTCATTACAATGAACTAAAGTGATATTTTGAATTTGAATGAAATATCTATTATCATATTCATTGAATAGTATTTTATTGTAGCCTAGTTATTTGCTTAATGGATTAGAGCAACCGAGAAATGGTCACTTATCATAACTTCATATCTCAATCAATACTTTCTTATATAACATTTTTCAATGGTTGAAATCATCATTCAATTGAAACTAGACCACCATGGAAAACCTGAAAGCACTGAACAGATGATTCATCCTATTGTGAGACTCCTCAGCAATGGTGGTCTAGCTTCAACTGACTCATGATCTCAACGATTGAAATCACAAAAAACCTCTTCTGATAACTATTTTTAACAATCATCTCTTCATTGTGAAAATAATATTCAGCTATTTAATTAGACTTTTTTATCTATTGATCAAATCAGTCAAACATTAAACTGTTTGAGAATTAAGTCGTTTCCAACTTTTAGATGATTACAGGATTTTATACATTCATTATCTGTTTAGTAAATTGTACCATTTTAAAAGATAATTTAGGTGAAACTATGTTCATTTGAATAAAATATTCTACTATGAATATACTATCTTGTAATTGTATATTTCGTTCTTGAAGATATTCAGAAGTTCTAAAGTGAATTATTAGTCTGTGAAAATACCAGTTTAATTATCTTAATATGCTTACATCTATGGATATTACAAAATTTTAAATCAATGCAAACACTTATGCCTGTTTAATTCACTTTATTTGACATGTAAACTGTTGATCTACGATTCTACAACAAAAATACTATGCTACTTTGTTTTACATTGTAGAGACCTCATATTATACCCCTGAGCATATCTGTTCTTATCTGAACAAACGAAAAGCCTGGCTAAGGTACGTTGTTATTTAGACCTATTACACCTGTTTTTTGTGCTTAACATGCACAAGAATATAAAAATTAGTAGACTTGAATGTATTCACCATTCTATTCGAATACTTCTCATCTGCTTTGGCGGTACGAATATAAAACTGATTAGAAACAAAAATTTGACACAACTTGATTACTGAAGTTGAAATGAGATAGAATACAAGATAGTTAAGTAAGTAGAATTATCACATAAAACATTCTGAACTTTTAACATGCAGGGTTAGATATAGAGAAGGATCAACAAAGACTATAGACTATTCGTACAGATTTTATGTGTCATTGGTCCGGTCGATAAATTAATGTTCCCTCATTGACAGTATCATTACGTTATATATATTAATAAGGTACAAGGTCACAAGATATAACACATTTTGATATAAAATAAATAGAAATATTTTATGTTATATCTTCAAAGCTCTTTATTTATCCGTTTATAGAATAAAAATAGGTATGTTTGTATATATATAGGTCATTAAAATCATGACAGAGAAATAATTATAACACATGCACAACATCAAATTGTACATACACTGTCATATTTTTTAATACTTAGTAATTAGTGTTTCTATACTCCTTCCAAATATTTACACGATTACTGGCAAGAGAATTTTTAAAAAATGTGTTATTTCAGTAATTTTATAAACATATTACTTTTTTCTATCACTATCTAGGTCACACTTATTTAATCTAAGAATTAGTATAGAAACATTTTGGTAAATACGTGTAAAAATCTTGGACTATTGAAAATTTTATCCAGTTTCTAACCGACTACTGAAAAAAGTAACTACTAAATATCTGGGTACATTTGTTTCTTAATAATCTGGATATTATGGAAGTGATTTAAGCTGATAGTTAGAAATAGTCAACACGAAACCTTGAACTTAAAATTTGTGCTGTTTAACACGTGTTATCAAGATGTAACTGTAATAGTAAAGAAATTGATGATTACTCGTATTGCCTTTGACTGTGAATGTGGGTGACATAGGACTGAATTCTTCAGGATGCATATGTCCCTTTACAATCATAGGTACACCTTGTTGATAAGTGACAAACGGAGTGTAACCTAGGTCTAGGGTTTCCTGTCATTTCTCTCTAACCACTACCTTGCATTTTAACATAGTGCATACGCTATCGAGTTACATAGATCAGTAACCATATGCAATTTGATCGACAGAATTCGATCAGCACTCAGAACGACTTGACGTATGTGATATTAGTCACCACTAAGTGACCAAGCAACTGTAAATGGAAGAGATATATTTTATTTTGACAAGACTGTTGATAGTCCCATGCTATTACTCATCCATTAATATATGCCTACCAAGTTAATTCAGTCTTAGTTATATCGTTTAATTACATGGTCAATTATTATCATCGTTATTCTTTGTAATATCTGTCATGCTCTAAATAATTAGATCCCGTCAGAATGTTTTATGTCATATTTTTACATTCATAACCCTCTTATGTTCTATCTCATTATGAATCATGTATTTCAAACATACTGGGTTTATATACAAACCAAACAGACCACATCGTACCATAAAATAGGAAATAACATTTGTACAAGATCCAGCCAAAAGTGACTGTGAATATGGGTGACTGCAATTAATAGACTGGGTATAACTCAAGAACAGTAAATTGTATCGTAATATTCTATGGGTAAAAATAAAGCTTTTAGTACGAGGAAGATGACTATGGATAGTATGACCACTTAATAATTATACATTAAAAATATCTGTGTCATATTGGTCCATAAATAGTTCTCAAAAGTTACCATTCATAATTGTCGTCGGGATATAACAAAATGGATTAGATACACTTGGTATTGTTTAACTTGAATCTTCCCATTGATGTATAGCACTGTAATTGACCAGTCT